AGGGTTCAGGGTTCAGGGTTCAGGAAAGTCTCCATGTTGAACCCTACGCTCTATGCTCTAGTATCAAAGCTAAACCGTCAGCCCCAAGCTAAACGTTCTTGGACACATGAAGTTTTGCTATGCCCTCAAAGGATTGCACCGCGGGGACAACGCTCGAAAGTAATGTCAGCTGGTAGGGGCCTGGGAATAGAGTTTTGGGGTATAGTACACTACAAGTGTAACGGGGAATATAAGAGGCTACAAGTAGTCAGAAGCCTGAAGCGAGCCGTTTCAGCTGCAGCAGGGCGGCGCCGTCTGGATCCCTGCGCTGTCTGCCATCGGCGCTGGCTTCGCGATCGGCCTTGCTGCAATCGGCTCCGGCGTCGGCCAGGCATTTTGGGAAAGAATCAGATTAGGCGGCAAACGAGGTTTCATGTCAGCGTGTTTCTTGAGGCTGTGTTCAAATGGGTAGTTCTCTAAATTCGGGTCCCTTTTTGGGTCCCCAATATAGTACGGCACCCTCATAAAAAGGACCCCAAAAGGGACCCTAATTTAGAGAACTACTCAAATGGCATCATGGGGTCGCCTTTTATCTGCTTCAATCTGGTTTCGGGCATCTCATAGCTTGCACTGCCTGAAGTTCTTTCGGAATGTGCTGGTGGAGTCTTTCCGTCAAGCTTCCAAGCAGCTTTGACTGGGTTCTTGTCAAGGGGTTTAACGTTCAAGCTACCACAACACATCCCACGTGTGGTAACGTTACCGACCCTAAGCCGCAAACCCCAAACCGTAAACCGGAAGCAGCACCTAGCGTAGGGGCCTTAATCATTAGAAATGGGTTTTGGTGCCAATTACTATAATCATAGCAAGGAACCCCAAACTAGTATTGGTAATTGTTTAGGCCACTATGTTATAAGACCCTAAGCCCCTAAAACCCCTAAACCCCTAAACCCTAAACCCTAAAACCCTAAACCCTAAACCCTATATTTAGGCCCCTACATCAGTTACCCAGTTTTCCGCTCTCACAACGAAGACGCGAGTTGGAGCCTGAAGATCTGAAGCCCCAAATGGGGGAATTGTCGTTGGGGGAGATACCCAGGGTTCCTTTCAGCTGGATTCCCATAAGACCCTAAGCTCTAAACCCTAAACCCTATGTAAGCCCTAAGCCCTAAGCCCCAAACCCAAAGCCCTAACCTATAAACCCTAAGCCCCAAACCCAAAGCCCTAACCCTTACAGCCTAAACCCAAAAGGACCCCCTACGGGATCCTATAAAGGAACCCCGCAAAGGGTCCCATCAGCGCTTAGGCAAGTGTTCCTTCAAGAGCCATGTCTCCTGTGGTGAAGTTTGGGGGTTTGGGTAGGGTTTAGGGTTTTTGGGGGTTTCGTGTTTAGAGTAAGTTTAGGGTTTGGGTTTAGGGGTTTAGTGTTTTAGGGTTTAGGGTTTAGGTTTGGGGGTTTAGGGTTTTAGGGTTCGGGGTTTAGGGCTCAGGGGTTTGGGGTTTGGGGCTCAGGGCTTAGGGTGCAGGGTGTGGCCGTTGGATTTGTTCCCCGTTGTGGGATGGTCTTTGGTCAACCCTCCTAGCGCTAGTGGTGCGCTTCGCAATTGGATGGATTCTGTCAAGGATGCCTCCAAGTTTTGTACGCGGAAGAAGACAGGCCCTAAGAACTGCGGCATTTGCTGCAGGGCCACTGGACAGACTCGTTTTCGTGTGCTTTAAGAACAGTGTTGGGGACTTCGCCGGTGGTCTTCCCTTCTGCCACAACGGAAATGTGCAGGCACAGGGTGGGTCACGGCACACGGAGGTCGTCGCCGATTTGTAAAAGTTTGGGCTTTCGTCCTTCTGGACTCGCAATGCCGCTGAGCTTCTTGCGTTGCCTGTTCCATGACATGGCCATGTCCCCCGCCGGACGGTAGCATCCCTTCCGGCGGCGTGGCGTCGTATCGTTTCACGGCTTTCTGGCCGTCCCTGTGCATTTGTAGGGTTCATTCGGACGGCGTTGTCCCACCATGGCAGTACAAGCAGCCTAGTTCCCTTGCCAAACCTCATGGAGGCACGGTGCAAACGTCCAAAGTCCCCAACAGCTGTGGCCAAAAGCGGTCCAGCTTCGGCGCTGGCACTGGATCCTAAAGGCTACATCAGCATCCCTGGCCTGAGAAAACTCAATTCCCAAATCTTTACACCGTAATGTTCCAGTTAAAACACTTGGGGGCCAGCCAAAGCCCACAAATGGCTAAACCCCAAACCCTAAACCCTGCATCCTGGTTCCTCCCCTCAACCCTAAACCCTAAACCCTAAACCCTAAACCCCTAAACCCCTAAACCCCTAAACCCTAAACCCTAAACCCTAAACCCGAAACGTCGAACGCCAATGCTCCTCAGGGCATTGCCAGCGGCCGCTGCATTGACGGCATCTCTCGTCAGCCCGAGGCCGGCCAAAGCTCTCTAAGGGGGCTCCAATGTAGCATAGGGTTTAGGGTTTAGGGTTTAGGGTTTAGGGTTTAGGGTATTGACTGTTGTTTATGAATACGTACCTGCTGAAAATCCTCCTTTAGTACCAGTATGTACCAATAGTAAGTCTCAAAAGTGATTAACAACGCCAATAGCAGCAATCGTCCCTCAACATTTGTCTAGTTTCATACACCCCATAGCCCTACTTCAATTACCCAAGCTTTACCGGCAGGACCTTAAGCCGTCTTGTTCGAATATTTGTAACACTATAGCAATAGTACTACCCGTCGTAGTCGTAGTGGTAGTGGTAGCGGTAGTAGTAGTAGTAGTAGTAGTAGTAGTAGTCGTATTATATTGCTGTTTCTATTCGAATTGACAATCATTAGCAATACACGACAGTACTCATAAGTACGAGCACAAGAACAACGACAACACGGCCCCCGGACACAGGAAGTCTTGGGAGGTTGCTGGGGTTGATGCCCCTAAACCCCTAAACCCTAAACCCTAAATTCTAAACCCTTAAAGCCTAAATGCTAAACCCCCTAAACCCCCTACACCCTAAACCCTAAACCAGACTTGAGATACCTGGGAATCCTGGAGGTTCATTTAGGGCTGTTATAAGTGGGGTTGTAAGTAGGGCAAACTACACTGATAACCCATAATAGGGGACTTAGAACCCCACTTGTAACTGCCCATGAACCTCCAAGTAAGGGAGTCAAAGGTTCGAAATGTTCGTCTTTGTTCTGGCTTTTGCCATTAACCTTGGTTTTGTGTTCTCGTGCTTGTCGATAATGTCGCCAAATGTTACAGATGCTTGGGACACTGAGTGCCGGGTTCAAGGTCTCGGAGGCTGGCCGTATTCGCGGGAGTCTCCGGCTGCTCCGCCGGGTCGTTGTCATTATACGGTAACGGTAAAGCAAACCTTCAGTAAGAATACAGGCCATCATGTCTCCCGTTGCCTTGATTATGGCGCCCTTTATCAAGTCCATGCAACACCCCCAATCCCATAATTAGTGCCATGCCACGGCCCTGACTAATCCTAAGCTGGAGGTTGCGGATGACCTCCGCGGAGTCCTGATCCTCGCCGGGTCGATTTTTTTTTGTTTTTGTGGAGCGTGTGTGTGTGTGTGTCTGTGGATTGGAGTTTAGGCTTACGGTTTAGGTGTCTCGGGACTCACGCTTTGGATGTGTTGCAGTCGCCGTTTGTTGTTTACGGCATGTTTTGTCTTGGGGTGTCAGTGTTTTGTTGATGGTTTCAGCATGTCTTGGGTTCAGAATGGGTGTGGAGGGTTGAAGGTTGTTTTCCTCAAGCTTTCCGGGACGGTCTATGTAGACGAAACTGAACGGCTTCCCATGGTGCTTGCACTTCTCTTGCATAGGTCCTACGCAAAAACCCCCTAAACCCCCTGCAGAACCCAAAACCCTAACCCTAAACCGGCGTGAATTCGTGCAGACAGCTTCCCCTTCGCCTAAAGCATGCCCTGCACAATATCCAAGGGGGCCATCTACGCTTCGCAGTGCAGTTCTTGAGTATAACTTGTCCCTAAACCCTAAACCCTAAAAACTAAACCCTAAACCCTAAACCCTAAACCGACGTCATGAGCCCTGAGACTTCGCCCAACTCTTCGGGACTTGTTTTGGGAGATTCGTGTCTATCAACGGTGTATCATTAGGGTTTAGGGTTTAGGGTTTTAGGGTTTATGGTTTTAGGGTTTAGGGTTTTAGGGGTTTAGGGTTTAGGGTTTTAGGGTCTACGGTTTTGGGGTTAAGGGTTTAGAGATGCCTGGTGCGCGATTTAGGGTTTCGGGGAGTGGCGGTTTCGGGTCCTTAAGGTATCCTAGGCCCTAAACCCTAGAACGCTTATGGTAAATCTTCTATACTAACCCTTGCAGAAACTCGTCTTGTATAAACCCTGAAACCCTCGTAAATCCTAACCCCGAAACCCTAACTGACAGTAACCCTTTTTGAAACCCTTATCCCTAGCGATTTGATGGAACCCTAAAACCCAAACCCAAAACCCTAAAACCCTAAACCCTAAAACCCGAGGCTGCTGTCCCTGGCATTCATGGAGTCCCTGACCATCTACGGCCTTGTGATTGCCCTGGCCCCTTGGCTCAGCCCCCTGGGTTTACAGGCTTTGAGGTTTAGGGTTTAGGGTTCAGGGTTTAGGGTTTAGGGTGTAGGTTTAGGGTATTGGTGCCTGCCTCAGTGCACAAGAGCCTCAGGTCAGGTTTAGCCTGTAGGTTCTGAGATTAGGCGTAGGGCTTTAGGGTATGATCTTGGGTTCAAGGGTTTAGGGTATGATATTGGGTTCAAGGGTTTGGGCGTATGATATTAGGTTCAAGGGTTTAGGGTATGGTATTGGGTTGATTAGGTTCAAGGGTTTAGGGTATGGTATCAGGTTGAGGTTTAAGGTTATGAATGATGTAAGGTTCGAGGGCCCAAGGGTTTAGGGTATGACATTGGGTTCAGGGGCAGGCGGTAAAATTGAAGCTCCCGTTTTTCTTCGAGCAAGGCAGGGCACCAGCACGGAATCTCTGTAACCTCCATTCAGCCAAACACCAAAACTCCCGAAACTCTGTAAGCTGTAAATCTTACTGTTGGCGAGTCACAACAATCATAATGCTGACGCTGATACTGATAGTAATCATGCTAATACTTAGAATCGTGAACATTACTATCCAACATTATAATAGTACGAAGCAGAGGCAAAATAGCAATCACAGTAATAATGATGTTTGTCTGCCAGAGCGCCTACAGGTGCTCCTCTTCGCGAACCCTCTCATCAAGTGAGCAAGACGTCGGCGATTTTGTTAAAGTTTTCCAACTTAGACTGTCATGACCTTCCGTAGATTCTGCAGATATCATACGGTTATTCTTCTGGTTGTCAGTCTCTTTTACGAATGCTGCTTCCAGGAAACCCTAGATATTAAAGCGCCCGCCTCGCCATGGGCGAGGCAAGGATGGCTGCAAGAGGAAGCTGACAGAGCTCGTGCTCAGAGAAATCGGCGTTCGCAACTTTCCGTGCTTTCGCCTCTAGAGATTTCAGAAGGCAAAGGTGTCCCTGGAGGTTTTGTCTGATTCATTTTCGTTGAATAAGTTTATAAAGTTTAACAGGTATCAGGTGTGTCAAAAGGGTCTCTTACGTTTGCATGGGCAATATTTGTTCAATGACCATGAAACTTGGAGTTTTCGTTTGGGGTCCTGATTTGTGCGAATTCTAAACCCTTAACCCCCGCACTTGCGGCCAGCTGAAGTGAACTTCAACTCGGACTGTACCAGTACACCCAGGCTTCGACTCTACCCATAGGCCCCATAGTAGTTCCTTTTGGGGATTACCTTATAGGACTTAAGTATCAACCCCAAAAAGGAGCTACTATGGGGCCTATGGGTACACCGTAAGCTCTAAACCCTTAACCCTAAACCTAAACCCTAAGCCCTAAACCCTAAACCCTAAACCCTAAACCCTAAACCCTAAACCTAGACCCTAAGCCTTGAACCGTGCGCTCTTTTGGCTCAGAGTTTCTCCTGCCTCTCTGCTCCAGCACCACCAAGCCACGCCCGAAGGATCTGAAGATGCACGACCTGATGTGGGGAGTTTAGTGTTTAGGGTTTAGGGTTTAGGGTGGGGGAGTTCAGATTATTCCACTACGGCTCTGTGGTGTAGGGTGGTTTAGAATAGCTATCCGGATCCTACTACTTTGGGACATTTGGGGTTAAGAAGTGGGTCCCTTATTTCTGAGGATTTAGGGGCTTAGGGTTTACGGCTCCAAGGCTTTGGGATGCGAGTGTATGGGGTTTAAGACGTAGCTGTTGCTCCCAGTGCCGTTTTAGGTTCAGGGTTTTGGTGTTCAACCAGCCCTCCATCCCTCTGTCCCTCCATCCCTGCAATCCATGCATGCATCCCAAAATTCATACACGCATGCATCACTTTCACTTTCAGAGGCACGAGGTCTGATTCAGACGTAGCCTAGGCGTGCAGTAATTAAAAGGTGAAACGAGCAGCGAAAGCCCCCGGGTCGGCGAAGTTGGAGAGCACTTCACAGTCGCCTGACTGTACACAGTAAGGAGCAACCCTCTTGACAGCTGCAAGACCAGGGCAGTCAGAAGGGGCGGCGACGAGGAATGCAGGAACTTCGTTAAGCCAGAGATGGAGGACTCCACGCACAAGGTCAGCGAAAAGGCGAAGGCGATGGAGACTCCGTTCAAGTGACTTAAAGTGTCGAACGGGGGACGGAAGAGCAGTGGTTGAAAGCAGCCCAGCTAGGCAAAACCCGCAGACCCAATCAGAACGGGACCTGATCCAGTCACCGAAATTAAGAAGCAGGGGCTGCCGGAAACACTGCTCATGGCAGAGCCAGACAACAGACTGGATAAGTCGATCACCCAGGAGCCGACGAGTACCAGAGATGACCCGAAGTCGAAGGCCCTCGTGCAGCCCGACGGGAGAGACACACAAGGCATGAAACGACAGCCAAGGTAAAAGCACAGTGCCATCACGGAAAGTGGCATGCGCTTTAGTTGTGTCAATTGCACAGGGAACAAGCCATTCGACAAAGTCGACGTCACAGATCCAATCGGCAATCCTACGGTGCCAGGTGGACCAATTGATCGAGACATCCTCGTTGTCCTGAAGCTCAGAAGTGAGTCGATGACGCCACTCACGGGCGGTGGCTTTGAGCCGCGAGACCTGCAGGCACACTCCAGCAAAAGCTGCTTTAACGGCCTGTATCAGGGTGTCGTAGGAATAGCCCCGGTCATCACAACAGAAGAGGTCCTCAAGGGAGCTCAAGACACTGTCATCGGCTCTGTCAACTTCAGGAATGAAAGCAACGGGAACCTGAGGCAGCACGGGTCCACTGGCAGTGACAGCCGGGAGCATGACGTCCTTGCCAGAGCGGAACTTCCTACTACCTCTTCCAGGCATTGGTACCTCAACCTGTGAGACAGACGAGAGTTGTGCCAGACATTGTTGGGAGTATTCGAGGTGATTGCTCAGATGAAATGTGGATGCAAAATGCTTGAGGCAAATTTGGCATTGAGTGCCCTGTGCATACAATCGTGCCTCTCTAACGCGACCGTGGCGCTTAAAGGCATGATGGCTCCAGCAACGCAGGTTAGGAAACCTTTGCTGGCAAACGGCACAAACCTCACCTGCGGCCTCAGGAGCGTGCACCTCTTCTCCAACCTGTGCTCCATGTGAGAGCAGGTAACGTAAGAGCAACCCATGATAGTGGTGCACCTCAGACTCCCAGAGCTCAGCAAGCAATGCTGTCTGTTGTGCTTTGCGAAGCCACCTTCGCCAGAGCGCAGGCGACTTGATGATAACTTCACGCGCAGAAGACCACTCAGAGAGTCGATCCTGAGGGGTGCCAGCAAGTGCAAGGCCACGAGAGAACCAAGACAACGACTCAAGTGCAAGACCGCACCAAGTAGAGTCATGGTGCAAGATAGCCCAGAATTCAGCAGGCGCGACCCGAGTAACGACAGCAAGATGTCGCAAGCGCTCGACGTGCAGGAGAACCTTTGCAGATGGAACTCTAGCAACAGCAAGAACCTGGCCTGCACCTAGGTGGCAAGAATCCTCAAAGCTGTACGATGGACGCAACATTTGTCGTGCCATGGCAAGTAAGACCCCCTGAATGCGCTGTTCAACAGTTTCGTCCTGATAAGACCAGGTTCCAGCTCCGTAGAGCAAACGCGAAAGCACTAATGACTGAAACAGCAAAGCCTCCTCCCTGTGCGTCACAGAGGGCGAATTAAAAATCAGCCGCCTGTGCTTACGATAAGCCTGCCATGCCTGAGCGGAACGAACTTTAAGCTCGGGATCAAGTGAACCTGACCAGTGCAGCAAGCCGCCTAGATGCTTATACTTAGGGGTCACTCTGAGGCGTGCTCCGGGCCACAGAGTAGAAGGGAGCTCAACAGTAGGCACATCGACCCGAAAGAGCTCAGACCGAAGACGCCGAGAACCCTTACCAACAAGGGTAAGTAAGGCCTCTGACTTACCTGGGTCAAGGTTTGGGTGAAGCAATGCCTTGAGGCACTCATCAATCAGAGCTGTTGCAGCACCCTTGGTGGCAGCAAGTGCGCCCTCAGGAGTGGACAAAGAGAGAAGGATGACTAGGTCGTCCATCCATGCTACGTCTATGGGTGCAAGAGTGCCGTCAGGGCAGCCCAGCGTCGAAAGCTGACGGAACCACGAGGCAGCCCAGAGAAGAACAACCTCGTATCCTGCTGCGAAAATGGCCTGCCTGACCTTTTGAAGGACTGAGGAGAAGAGGAAGGCAAATACTACATCGGCGAGCGCGTCGCCGGGCCGTGTCCCGGATTCGACAACGGCTAAGCCCTCCCCGATCGTTAGCCACGAGTCTGTCTGGAATTCCTTAACAACGGCTGCGGCCCAATCAGAGGCACCGGCGGAAACGAGCAGGGACTCAGCCTGGACATAATCGCGTAGCCGATGAAGATGGTCATGAGGAAGACCAAATGAACTGATGACACTGGCGAGGTGTTCATCACTAAGATCACCACCGTGGACGAGAGGACGAGCAACTCGGTGGAATGCCTCGCGCAAGTCCAAGAACACTAAGGCGGTGCTCCTGCCTCGCTTAAGATGACCAGCCTGAAAATCCCTTGCTGCCTGTGCAGCAAGTTGAACAGGAAAGCCCCTTCGGCCACCGACCTGAAGGGGGGAAGCCGCGGTGTCGAGCCAGACCCCGCACTTACGGCGAAA